GCCCCCACTCTTAAGGAATACATAACGGCGACGCTAGCAATTTTGTTACTTAGGTTGGAATAAATTGAGACCCCCCCTAAATGAAAAAAAAATCACTGGAGGCAAGGATGCCGTGAGTGAAGAAGGGTGCTCAGAAAAGTCAAGGCATGCATAGGCGCAGGCTACGGAAGTGCCCGGGAGACACTGGCAGCAAAACACGGAGACAAGGTCACGTCACTCAGAGGCACGCGCGAGTCCAACGCGGCCTCAGAGCCAGGAGCGATAGTGACATTACGAATCGAAGAGTTCTTGGGCTCCGAGGATGGACGTCAACTTTGGTGGGGTGGCGCCAAGCACGAATGGTGATCAGTCTGGCAGACGCGCTGGAGCAGTTTGTTCTGGCAAGTAGGGCAGGATCTCTGCGATGGATGCAAGAATCGCCGGAGGCGAGGCTACGATGGGGACTGACGCCCCTTAACGAGGAGGTGGCAGACCAGCTGGCAGCAGCCTTCCGCACAGCAGCAGGAACCTACCAGGGTGTGAGTCCAGATTTGGGGAAAAGTGCACAGTTCCCCTATAGATGATTACCGCGTGTCAGAGAGCAAGCGACGCTGCACGGGTGCCGGACGTTCAGGAATGGTCGCAGTGAAGGGTGGAGGCCTTTTGCACGCAGGGAGGCATCAGTGGTCGAGGAGTGCAAGAAGATGCAGGAGTGCGAGAAGATGTGTACACTCGGTGGTCCAGGGAGACAAGTACAATTCCTTTAAGAATAAGGTGTTGATGGCAAGAGTAGTGGTGTGAGAGAGTGGGCGCAAAGGATGGAGTTACCTGAGCCGAGCCTGGCTGACCGTTGGTTGCAGGGATGCGGACCCGAGGGCGGGGATCCAGTGAGAGGGCCCGATGGAGAAACCGGAATGGAGAAGGAACATGTAGAAAGGTGGGCCGCGGACCTAGCCGACCTGAGTACAGAACCATTCGCGAGGATAGAAGCCGTGCAGGTGAATCATGTAATGAAGAGGCCCAGATATACAGTCCCTCAGCTAAATCCGTTAACGGAGGTCACCAGACAGCAAGTGATGGAGCGGTACAGCAAGGATGACACCGGAGACAGAGCCTACAATGCCCACAGGCGGTAGAGACTACACCCGATGCCGAATTTATCAAAAGCCAGCTGCGAGCAATAGGCCCAGCTCCAGACGCTTTCAGAGCCAGAAGGTTACAGCAGCACGGGGGGCTCTGGGCAGCGTACTTCCACAGGTCTGGTGATGGGCGAATTGGGGCGCCGGCACAAGAGGTGTTGAAATGGGTGAGAGGAGTACGACTAGAGCTCGTGGGAGTGTTCATGCCTGGGCAGGAGCCAGCCCCATAACGGTAGTTCAAATTGAGGATAGTACGATCTATAGTGCAACAAGTACGCCCTAGACACCAGGTGCAGCGTTTCTTCGAAGGGAAAGAGCCACATCCCATCCAGTTCCCAAATCACAGCAGCACAACTATGCACGACGAACTTGTGTCGGACGAGCTAAAGCTGGGAGTGTTGCAAGGGGTGATACAGCTGTGGGACCAGCCTCTCCTGCCGATGGTCGTTAATGGTTTGCGGGTGGTCGAAAACGGGGTCAAGAAGCGGTGGTGCATGAACACTGTATGTCAACCTGCTCCTGCGTTACCAACTGTTGAAGCACGAGCGGCTGACGGATATGATGCATTACATGCGGGCCCAACATAGGAGACTTATAATGTATGCCCGGGTGAGCCACCTGGGGGTGGTCGGGGGGAAGCGGAGACGAGAGGGAGAGAGATGGAGATATGAAATGGGGAGAGTTGCGGTGGGAGCAGGGGTAAGGCGAGGCAGAGAAGGGGGCGCGCGGAGCGCGGGTGGCTGGGGGTGTTTAAGTTGGCAGGGGGATGGAGGGTGGGGCGCCGTGCGTGGTGCGTGGGGCTCGCTTAGGCTGAGAGCATTACAAAGGTTGTAAGTGAGCCCTTCGTATCATATGGATGCTCGCCCCAACTAATCCGGCCCTTACGGTGGCGGGCTCTTTGACTTCAGAAATGCCAAATACAGAAGTACGGAGGGCCCTATGCCAACCCCGGATATCACACCAGTACAAGACAGTTCGAGTTTGGTCACTCCAGCACAGAATGCAGAGTCAGACAACAGATACAAACTAAGCATTATTAAGACAGGTTACAGAAAATAGACGACTAGAAAGACTAGAGAAAGTCGAGGTCGCCCTCCCTCCCCACCCTTGTGAGACGGGACAAACACGCACAGACTTATCACTCCTCATCACTCTCCGAAACCACCAGCCCCGTCCCGCCGGCCGGGAGGCGGGCGAGATGCCTAGTAGGATCCAGATAGCGGTGCAAGGTACCCAGAGAGCGTATGTGTGCAGAGCGCATGAGATCCTCATCGGAGACACCCCAAGACTGGGCATGCTGCAAGGCACCCCGACGAAAACTGTGCACCGTCTCTCCACCGTACAGCCCAGCATCAGTAAGATGAGTGACGAGGCGATATTCCAGGGCCTCGGTCGTCAGCGGCGCCTCCCGATATGCGCGGCCACTGCACTCCGCCGGACGGAAAAGGTATTGGGTGATAGGGGCACCGGCCCCCGTGCAAGTGTGCATGTACCGTAGTGCTACTTATAGTTCGTGATCGCTTTGTTCGGGGAGGGGTCAAAAAACTTTCTGAAATTTGTACGTGCTCTTTGAATTTCGGGGAAGGCCGGTCCAGATTTTGCGGGCATGATACAAATTTCGGGGCCCCTTCCAACGTTTCGGGGCTTTTCAAACTGCAGCTTCCAGTCAGTCTCCCTCCACCGGGAACCCTTAGGCTCATGGTCTCTCACCATTTTCGCACTTTGGAAACGCCCTAGCAAATTCTGGACCGATCGTACAGTTCAGTACCAGTGGCAACGATCTAATAACCAGCCGCATTGCGCTCACGCCTAGCAACCTCCTCGTGCTCCATTCGCTCACGCTGGGCCTCGACAACAGCATCATCAAGCCTGGTGCAACTCCAGCTAGGTCGCTCACCGGAGCGTTTGGTGCTAGCGGTTTCATCCCGTATTGAAGCAGGGTTGCCTGTCTTGCACGTTTTCCAGCGTTGTTCATGTCCTACGCTTATGACTATATTCTATGTATTTAAGAGCTGATTTCCGCCTTGAAATCCTAGTTTTTGCAAAGTTTGATCGACCGGCTTCGGAGGGTACGATATTTCGGGGCTGCGGTCCCTGGGGATACCTTAGAATTTGTACATGCTACATATTCGTGGTGCCTCCCGAATTATTGTAGCACGAACTATAAGTAGCACTACGGTACACTGAGAGAGCACGTAGCGCACAGATGAGAGGATCACGATCTGGACGCAACATCGTCGCAGGAGCACGCTGACCCTTGTACGTCTTAGTGTTTAACTCTTCAACGTGTAGTACAGTGTCGGGAGGAACACTCCCATCGGGCGCTGGTAGGGGTAACGGCCAGCGCTGGTACTCGGTACAACCATGCACCGTGTCCCTGAAATCACTTAACACCAGCTTGCCGACATCATGACCTCGCTGATAAGTATGCCACATTAAAGCAAACAGCGACAAGTCCCGAAGCACCAAACTGCGAGCAAACAAATGCTCTTCATCACCGGAGGCAATCCACAGATGGCAGGCCAGGAGGCGAAACTTCTCCGCGGTCAAGGGAATGGCGCCACGCTCCACATAACCGGCGTCACTCAGGTCCCGTCCATAGCCCTTGACATAGCCTCGCACCAATGAGCTGTTACAGGGATTCCCGCGACTTTGAGCGGCATCATAGTCCCCCTCCCGGCCCAGCTGCTTAAAGGCAGTCGTAAGGCTCGATATAACCCCTTTTACAGCACTGGCACTGGGACGCCGATCTGCCTGCAGACGTCCAGGGTGCTGAGGGAACCACCATTCCACCAGATACGAAACAATGGACATCGGATCGCAGGTGAGCAAGGTGAGCCCGAGAGGCTGGCGCTGCAACCAGACATGAAATTCACGCGCAGCACTTTGAACCCGCCGCCAGCTCTCAGAGACCCACTGACGTTGGTGCACCTGGTAGATGGAGAGCAAGGCGGCCGTGAGCGGCGGCCGCAGTGACACGCCCCCGGTAAACTCAGAGTAATACAAAGCCGCGACAGGGTCCAAAGGCGGCGGCGCCGACCTCGGGAGACGGACAGGGCCCGCAGCAAGCGGAGGCCCGGCAGGGAGAGCGTTACCAGGAAAGACCTGCAGTGATAGTATAGCCGAGGCGTAGGACGCACTCAGCCGACGGACATCCGGAGAAAGCTAACCAAACGTACCAGCGGTAGGCGCAACGGCGGGACGATGAGTTCGTCGCGAACAGGCGTAACGGTAACGAATCGACGAGGAGGCGAAGTAGGTTGGTCTTGGCCCCACGGCAAGCCGGCCGGTAAGAGAGGAAACATAATACAAATGGATAATCGCGATAACACGAGTACTTGATTCCTGAACTCGGACAAAATATTACAATAAAATGGGGCGAGATCGCGCTTCCAAAAATTTAGATACCACTGAAAAGGGCCTAAATTCGTCCGTGCGTGGTGCGTGGGGCTCGCTTAGGCTGAGAGCGTTACAAAGGTTGTAAGTGAGCCCTTCGTATCATACGGATGCTCGCCCCAACTAATCCGGCCCTTACGGTGGCGGGCTCTTTGACTTCAGAAATGGATGAAATGGACGAGCATGCTCGGACTGAGACACAATTACTCTTTGCGCAATCCGGCAAGGGCGTCGTAAATCGACGCGCTGTGTTCCTGGCCTTGGTTCTTTATTTTTGCATGTAAGTGAAAAGATGGTGAAATGCAAAGTGCAGATGTCCGGAAGATGTGTAGTTTGAAGAGGTGGCCGAGCATAAGGCGGTTACAAAAGTACCTATTACGCAAATCGGTGGTGCATGTGACGCCCTAATTATGGGGATAGAGAAGCACCAATACAAAAGAAATATTGTAATTTATTCTCTGTAATGACCTTTGTATTCGAGAGATGCAGGATGATATGTGTACGGAGTAGAACACTTAATCTGGGCTGGGTATCTTCAAGATGAATGAGCAATGTATCACAGTAAAACGATTTAGAGGAGGTATTCGTAGAGTAGGAAGAGGAATGAGAGGAGGGATAGGGAAAAGTAGGGCGAGGAGGGAGTGGAGTGGGGTAGTGAGATGAAAAGTAGAGGGAGAGGAGGGTGAGATGGGTATGGAGGCAGATGATGGAGAGGGGAGGATGGAGGAAAAGGAACAAGAGGGGGGAGAGGACGGAGGAAGAGGAACAAGTGGGGGGAGAGGAGTAAGAGAGGGTATAAGGTGGAGAATGGGGATAAGCGAGGAATGGGGGGAAGGAGATGAATCAGTGTGAAATTGAGGCTTAGCTAAATGCGGTTACAAAAGTTCTCCTCATGCGGCCGCGGCCGCTGTAACGCCGCTAAGGCGGCCCTCGGCTCACCGGGCCAACGGTCATCGTACCAACGGTACATTCAAGAACTATTCATAATCTTTCCAATACCAAACGGTATTTATCAATACCACCTTTTATCGTTGGATAATTCTCTTCGTAACTGCTTCGCCAACTGCCGAGCTTTGTTACAAATTTGGTATCTTAGACCAACCGGTCAAAAGGACCTCGGAGTCGAGTACTCCACCGCTTCCGCACGCACATTCCAACTTTACAAACATTTTTTATCTGACTCACATGACGAGCCCAGCAAGGAACCCCCTGCGCGCCCAGTCGGCGGAGGCCGACCATGAGCGCTACCAGCTGCGCCAGGTGAGCCCCTCTAGGGCCAAGAAACTGGTACAAAAGGTCCAGGAAATGTATGAGAAGTACGCGAGACGTGCTCAGCGTAGGGGCATCACACCGCCGTCGCACATGTTTGACAAAGTCAGACAGTTTTGTGACGAGCAAGACTATCGCTCTGCACTAGGCTTCCTAATGGAAGCTAACGAGGAACTCTCTTGTGTGCAGAAGAGCCGCGAACTGTGGGAACGACTAGCGCTGCGGCGCATGACGCCGACAAAAACGGAGCGCAAGACCCAACAGGTCCCGGACCATCGCGCCCACATCCCGCGCAGCCAACGGCTGCCACCGGGGAGCCGACCAGGGTGACCTTACCCTCCACCGCGCTCCAGCCGCAACACGGCACACGACAGGGTGAGTTACACAAAGAGCGTGAGCGTAATAACACCACTGTGGCTAACCCCGTCCCGCCTGAGGGAGGGTTGCCACCACTTTCCCACCCACACCGCCCAATTGGCGCAATGCCACCATGTAGATTGGTGCTTAGGTCCCCGCAACAAAATGTTGCATGTATTATCACGCGAACTGAAGCTATGGACCATGCGGTACACCCAACAGGTGCAGCCCCACGTGACGATTTTAACAAGCTGCTGCTGGACAAACTCGAGCAAATGTCGAAAAGAATAGAAGGCATAGAGGCACACATTCAGGCCCAAGCCGCCGCACCACCGCCTCCTAATCCGCCCGAACCTATCATACCAGCAGCAGAAGGCCTCAACGTGCAGCCAACGGCTGCAGAACCACCGACAAACACTGTACCAGTGCGGCCGGCGGAGGTCAACGACCAACCCGCCCAGGTGCCCGAACCAGCGCCACCGCCGATCGTCGCCCCTGCCACGCCGGCTGCCAACTGTGCGCCGCCGGCCGCGTGCAAGCCAGCTACTGCCCAAGCTGGCCACGTAAGTGGGATTGTGGGTTACAAGGATGTACAATCCATTAGTGCGCTAAATCAGCAGCCACACCAGCAAAATGCTAACCACCAAAGTCTTAAGAACTTTAGGCAGCCTCCTTGCTTCACGGGAGTGCCCAGTACCGCGATAACCAAACCTGAAATCTGGTTCGATACTACCGTTGATTACATGACGCAATCGGGCAGCGATCCCATAATGGGCATGCGTTATTATGTTACGGGCAAAGCTGCAGAGTGGTACCACGACCTATTCGCACGCAAAGGCTCCACGCTCACTATTCAGAGCATGCGTGACGACTTTGTGTTGCTTTTCGGTGACGTGCACCGTTGCACCCCTCACCATGTACGAACGCAACTACTGGCCGGTGCACACGCAATGAAACCCGGCGAGTCCATACCAAATTACGTGCAGCGGTTCCGTGAAATTACGCGTGGCGACCCTAACATGTCTCAAATTGACTTGTGCACTTGGCTTATTCACGGTATGCCGCCGCAACTGCGGCGGGAATGCGCCACGGATGCCAACGGCAATAACTGGTTTGCATTTGACGCTTTAGTTACCTATGCCCAAGGTGCACAAACGCGCCACGAGGCAGGCAAGGTGCAAACAGCGCGACTTAACTTCTTAGGCACTAACGATGCCCCCGCCCACCCCCGACAGAATGGCGGCCGCGGAAACCACACCCAACGGGGTGGATCTAGCAGCTGCGCCGACCACCACCACCATGGTGGCCGCTACGGAGGCCGAGGTGGTGGTCGCGGTGGCGCCTATGGCGGCCGCGGCCGAGGCGGCAGCACGGAAATGCCGCCGTGGGTTAAGGAGATGGCTAAGGAGAAAAATATCTGCTGTCATTGTGGAGAGCCCTTTGGCAAGGGCCACCACTGTGGCAAACGGCCGCGTTACAATGAGGACCGCAAAAAAGCGGACGCCTAGGAAATTGCCCACGCTGTAGCCTCAGGCAGCTCGTGTGGGGAACCGATGGACATAGAGGAACTAACCCGGAATCCACCAACGGTGGACTGCAGCAACTGTGTGCTTCACTCAGTGTTTTTGCGTCTGCAGAAGGCCTCGGGTCGGGTGTTCATGATCGATGCATCTTGTAACGTACGAAGCGACAATTCCCTCTGTCCTAATTTTGCCTGTCCCGACTCGTTCACTTTGCACGATCTTAGTGGACAGCATATCTGGTGCAACGCGCCAGCCGATTGCGCGATTCCTTGGCTGAACAACTACAGCACTTTAAAACAGCGCGCTCCGGACACAACTAGTGCGGTTATGTTGGTGCCCAAGTGCGCCCACCTAGAAACGGAATTTCAGACACGCGGTTGGACCTTACT